TGGGCTGGCAATCGCGTCAGGCGCGCGTCCTAGCGCGTCAGCGTTGGAGGGTAGTTCAAGAGACTCCGTACGTATAGGCAGCAGATCTCTTAGTTGATATTTGGCGTTGATTAAGAGCTAAGATTGCGAGGTTTACATCAGCCTCATAAGAGCTGTTTTGGCTGTGGTGGGAGGGGGCCATGGTTGATTGAAGTATACACGTTGCGCAAAGTTAGTGGGGTGGCCCGCTCGCTTGTATGGCCCGCTCGCTTGTATGGCCCGCTAAGGATAAAGCCCGAGCAGAGCTGTTACAACAAGACAAAGCAGACTAGCTAGGCTACTATCATGGACAGAAGATACAGGATAGCTATCCTACCCCTCTATTAACACTGCCACTAGCAGCGCTACTTGCAGGCATTATGGCCAGTAACTAAATAAGCCTGTCCTAACAAGCGTCTTTAACCACTGTCCCCTAGGCAGCATAATATCTTGCAGGAACCTAAGCTAGACGTGTTAGAACATACAGAGGAGAAGTTATAGACAAGGCTAAGATAAGGAGAATGCTTATTAAAGGATTAAAGCCCTATTAAAGCTAACTTCTGCCTCTGCCTACTTCCTAAACTAAGCTTGAGGATCACACTATAGGGGAACTATTTCAAGAGGCTGAGTAAGCACACCTTGCAAGTTATTAAGAGATAAAGTTGTAGTTAGAGGTGCTAATAAAGCAAGTTAAGCAGACTAGACACTAGATACTTGACTGTATGTAGGTGTACACCTACAAGCTAGATAAGCACTATTACCTACTAAAGTCTACGGCAAGTGTCGCAGCAAGGATCAAGGTGAGGGTGCATATCACGTGATCCGCATCTGGATATTGGACCGATCAGACACTAGCGATCTATCACGCCATGGTGAGCGGAATCAGGTATAGCTTGGAGCCGTGATTAGGGCTCCAATTAGGGTATAGCTGGATGAGCATTGGTGTATATATTCTGCTCATTCAGCACCATAAATAGAACAAGGAACTTGATCACTTTCTTCACACTTGATTAACAATTAGAGACTACTCAGCTTCCACAGTTGTAAGCCCAGACGCTGAAACTGCGCAAGCAGAGGTTGAATAGATTTTCGTGTTCCGTAGGTTACCATAGCTGAGGGTCTTGGCATGGTACCTGCTCTGTTGGCGTGCTATCTGCAGCAATAGTGTAACAACGCTCTACGAACAGTGACCCGATACCACTAGGATACGGTTCTAGCGACTCATGACCATGGCCCTTGTCGCATAGCATAAGCTCACACTAAACTCCTACCAAACCCTTATATATAAGGAGCAAGGAACTGTAGCATTGTAGAGTAGTTTTTCTGTATCCTTTTGTACAAGACCTATAACGTGTTTCACAAGCGAGCGCCGCACCCAACCGAGCGCCGCACTTTCAACAACAGAACGCCTGCGCAGCGCTATATCACAACACAACACAAATAAATAATTGTTTGCAGGCCTAGATAGTATTATTTAGAAGCTTTACTATTATCTGCGTCCTCTATTTCTACCTTACAAGTGTAGGAATTATATCTAATCTTACTATAACGCCTATAGTGTTGTCTAACGCGCACCCTCTTTGCAGGCGTCTTACCCTTACTATAACCCCTACCCTCCTTTTTAGTAATTAAGTTAGCTACTTTACTAACTGTAAGGGTCTCCTCTATGTGTATATATTTTTACTTATAGGTCTTGCACTTTGTAGATACTTCTACAGCGTCTTAAAGGCAGCCTATTTCCTCCTGCATTAACACTATATTATAAGCTATCTGCTAAGCGCCCTTTGCTAACTGTTTAACCTGCTCATCTAACAAATTTGCTAGAGACCCTTAATAGATTTAAATCTGCTTTTAAATTAGAGTTAACTGCTCCTCTACTTTGTAAGCAGTGTGTAGTGTCTTTAGCTCCTAGGCAACGTTGCTAGGTTTTGGTGGCGTTGGCGTGCGCAGGCGCACATCAAGCTTTGATAACACCACCTCTAGGTTGTGTAGGACTAGCCCAGCACCTCTAAAGCCTGCGCGAATGTTCTCTCTAGTGAACGCCTTACTAAACGCTAATTTAAAGGCTGGCAGGAAGGTTTCCTTGTTAATATAGTGGATGCGACTGCGTGCTAAGGCTGAAACCTCGTCGCCATACAGGCGCTTTAGTGGCGAGAAGCAGGCAACGTCAAGTGGCTGCAACAGGTGCGACGAGTGTGGGGGCATACAGAGAGTGATTATCTTCTTCTCTCTGCAGAGATCTTGGAAAGCCACTAAGCAGT